ACCGTTTTTGTGAGCGACTCAATTAAGTCTTACTAGTGTTTACAAAAATTTGGAAAAATATTTACAATTCTCACCATTCAATTAATTTGTTGGTCGATTTTTCATTAAGGTCTGATTTCTACCAGACTTTATCCTGGATAATTATGGCCACTTTGCAGTAAATAATTTTCCTTGGCCATTTTGAGAGAGTTGACAACGTTAGAACATGAAAAGTCTTAAGTGGCAATGCCACCTCTTAGCCGCTTGCTATTTCCAGAGGCAGATCTTTTCATTTAGATGACAAATATAAGCAAAAGATAAAACAAAAGGCATATTATAATAGAGTTTAAGAAACACAATGTTTGGCATTTACCTTAAAGTAAACTTTAGGATATATTTACCATATGGTAGACTTTATAATTAATTTTTCTAACGGAAGAGTTCATCAACATAGGTATTTTTAACAGCAGAACTATGTGAAAATATTGTGACACATCTCCGTAATTTGAAAGCAGAAATAATTTATGCACTTTCATAATGCAGAAAAAAATGTTACGTGTACAAATTTAAATATATCTCATTTTTATAATAATATTCATCCTATACAAGGCCCAAAAGCCACTCGAGGTAGAGGTTACAAAGTAAGTGACCCAGCTTATAGAGATATGTGAGGACGATAAGGGTTAATCCTAGATTTGAACAAGTTACGATTATAAGAATCGTGAAAGCATCCTCTTGGGAGTCGGTTCCAGAATACAGTGGGTCGTGAGAACAAGCTGATTGAGTAGAACTTACATCCCACCAATGGAGTACGAAGGAAATGAAGGTGATTCATTACAATGTGCGCGGTATGGCTGGTGGAACTTAAGTAATGTAGTTCGTCTGAGCACTTTCCATGAAAATAGCGATAGAGCAGCGAGACGCTTGCGAAGTTTCATTTGGGGGTTTTAGAGTGGAAAATGATTCATCACCCAAAAGAACGCGGAGAGGCTTTTATACTCTATCTAGACTGGAAAGTGAAGACTGGGCAGCTCCTGCCCACATATGGCAGCAGTATTTCATTTTTCAGCCTTTAAAGGTAGATGATAGCAGGAGGTGTCAGGTATTTACTGCAACGGTACAGGGATAGGATGCTTTTCTTCCTAACATCGTTTCTTGTATCAAAATAAATGATAGCTCTCACAATACTGAATAGACGAAAATTCTTACATGTTTCTATACGTGGTGTTCGCACTGTTTATCCCAACAACAGAATATGGAATGGTTCCATCCAGGGTTGACAATATTTTCTAAAATCTGAAGATCTATTAGCGGTCACAACCTATATCACGCAGGCGACACATCCTGGCGAATTCTCGATTAGAGAAACTCCCTAAGAATTTCTAGTCATTACACACACACAATCACACAGACACTTACACACACAGGGACACTAACAACTTGGTTATCCGTATACCAAGAAGACGATACGATTCAATACCACCTAAATTAGTTCGATTTTGGTAAAAATGATAAAACGCGAATGCAGCATCCTGTTTGAAACATATTGAATGGAAAACATGATATAATTAAAACGATAAAAATAAACAATAAAGCAATATACACTAAAAGAATAAAAATATAAATAAAAAATAAAAGAAAGAAGAATAAAATTGATGAATCTTACTTATTATAAAACGCAGATTCTGTGTGTGTGTGTGTGTGTCTGTACGTTTATATATTGGATCGGATTTCCTACATTTTTCAACCGATTTCAACAAAACTTCACATGACTACGTAAAATTACCTTGCGGTGGTTCTGAAAGCACCAAAAATTGGAAAACACAATTGTTATTGCATGAAATCAATTTGAAAACACGATAAAACAGGATTCTGTCGCCAGAATGAAAGGGGGACAACTCATATCGAGTTATACTTATTATAAAACCCAGGTTGTTTGTGTGTTTGTATCTTCGTTTATATATGGGATCGGATTTCCTACGTTTTTCAACCGATTTCAACAAAACTTCACTTTTTTGGCAGGTAGTGTTTCTTATTTTCTTGCACACTTTTTTCTTTATTTTTACATTCAGAATGCTTTAAAAATTCCATTTACAAGACAATTGTTTATAATAAAATTCTATTCAATCGATAGACTCATAACGATTGAAAACAATGTTTTTCTTTGAGTTTGACCAATTCGTAAAAAAAACAAAAAAACATGCGTGTCCGTCAACCTTAAACAATAATCTTTGTCAATTTTATTTTTCAGTCTTTATGATGGTTGATACTTGATCTATCTCTTACTGTTACATCCCCGGGCAACGCCGGGCTCTACTGCTAGTACAGAATAAAAATAAATAATACAAAATTGGTTAAAAATAATTAGTCACAAGTGGATTCATAAAAGAGGAATATATTAGGGTGTATCATGTGAAATATCAGATTGTTCCTTAATTTTTGGATGATCTGCTCAATATAATGTTTGTTTTTTCATCATAACTATTCTGTGTAAGTTTAGATTCGGACATTATACATCAAAAGAAACATCGATTTGACATTGAAGAAGCAACACTGATTTGACATGAAGAAGCAACATTGATTTGATTTGGAAAAGTCACATTGATTTGACATTGAAAAAGGGACAATGAAAGCAGTAGTTTCAGAAATGCTGAGATATTAATATTCAAAATAATACTTGAGGAAGGTTCAATATTCTTTCCCATTATTTAGTTTCGCTAGAAAGGTTGAAAATGTTAGTCAAATAAATCTGTTATGAATTGACAGCAAATCTAAAACTACGTGGTTCTGGGGTGTTAAAGTATTGCTTACTTAATTTAGAATCAGTAAATGTTCGTAATAAACAAAGAAAAGCTGAATTGTTATGTAATATCAATCTTTCTATATGGTAGTAAATTTTGAAAAACTTCATCACGGATGAAGAGAACACTTGAAGTATTTTTCTACAGAAGGATGTTAACAACACCATGGCTGGAGCATGTAGACGAAAGGACACTTGTATTTAGGAGACAGTTGGAAACTTTAAGACAACTAACGAGGAAAGAAAATGTTACTCTTACAGGATATACTGAAGAAAAGGATAGTAACGGAACAAATATTGTCGAGAGTTACAAAGGATTGAAAGTTGTGGAGAGCCACTATCGTTATGTTCTGAAGAAGACTCAAAACAAGAAGAAATATTATATAAAACGTGTTATCCCTTAAGATGAAACATGAATTCTTTACGATAACTGTCTACATATTGGGTCAGCAACTTCCGTCTCTCGGGCCATATTTGGCCCGCGAACGATTTTTGTCCGGCCTACCAATTTAATCGTAGTAAGGAATTTGCATGTCTTTTATTGTATTATTCTGTTATTCCTGCGGTGATATAAGGAGCCCTGCTTAAATAATGTAACATTAACTATGTTGTTTTTTCTTTAAACCTCCAGATCAAGGCATCATTCTGGACAGAGCGGTCTGAGGTCGAGACAATTTATTATAACATTTGATATCCTGGTCCTCCTCCGAGACGCTGCATAGCTTTATGGTCCGCTCCCACAAAAAGGTTGCTTACCCCTGGTCTATATGGACCGTGTTGAGAAGGTATCTGTCCATTTTGAACATCTCGAAAACCGGTTACGCGGCCTTGGTGAAACGATTAAGGTTTTTGGGGGAATTAATGGATGAAACGAAGCTCAGATAAATGTAAAGTACTGGCGCTTCAAGCTAGCCGAGGTGAAGCTCAGATAAATTTAAAGTACTGGCGCTTCAAGCTAGCCGAGGTGAAGCTCAGATAAATGTAAAGTACTGGCGCTTCAAGCGAGCCGAGGTGAAGCTCAGATAAATGTAAAGTACTGGCGCTTCAACCTAGCCGAGGTATAAGTGGAAAGCGATCTAAATTCTAGAAAGATTTTACAAGCATGAGACTTGAAAGTTTGAGAACGGGTGCACACAAAAGGATATCTGCGATTGTCAGAACGTGAATTAGAAGAACATATGGTAATTTCATGGTATGTCTGGAAAGTAGTAAGCCGTTTTCAATATGTCGATTAATCATTGTTCACGTGACGTCCAGTATATTTTGACAAAACATCGTATCTCGCCGATCTTTCAGATTCCTTTACAGTTTAGTTTTGGTTCCTTACTACTTCCGGGTTTTCTCAAATCTAAACACGTTACTTTAAAGTATTTATGCATGTACTTAAGGACAACGCGACCAGGCAGAAGATGGCATCCACCACTACCAAAACAAAAGAAAGAACGTCACAGACAGCTGTGAAAAGTGAATGGAACGCCAGTATAAACGTTTTAAGCCCCAGGACAATTACTATAATGAAGTCTAAGGTTTTATTTCTTTAGGCAGGCTACTATGTGCCATGTCCTTTCAAGAGGCGGGCGATTATGTCTCTCCACAGCTTTCTATCTTTCATCGCTCTTGGCAATGTTTGTCATTTTACTATTAGTTCTACTATGTTGTACAATCGTGCACGAGCTTGTTAGGTAGGTTTCTAGCTGCTTTTCTATGCTTTGCGTGCGAAACCTTTAAGTTTCAAATGTTCCAGATCTTCTTTTGTCATTGTATCTTTGAAATGTGAACTGTCTTTTTCTGGTTTTATATATAATTGTTCTTTATGTTTCCATTTTCATTAAACTTTCCACTTTGCACACATGCTCCGTCTATGGTATTCCCAGCGTTCTTGTATAGAACCATATTATTGTTATCTCAAGTCTTCTCTTCAGCTTTGAAGAAATTGTCTAACATTCACTGCCAAATATAGAAAGATCGATACTAAATAGCAGATCTGCACAATTTTCTTTGTTTCTAATTATATTTTCTTATTTCGTAGTACTTTATTTAATTTTTGAACGGTTACGCTTCTTTAAATTTTGGTCTCACAATACACATTTCCTGTCATATCTAAACTGTAATCTCAATTTGGTTTCTCTATACCGCAGCTTGCATTTTGGTATTTTTCTCTTGTTGACAATCATACACTCTGTCTTCATTAAAATAACGGTTAGTCCTTTCTTCAAGCTAT